CCCTGGTCCCGCCCTTGTCGGCCTGGCCTCGGGGACCAGGGGGTTTGTAACTCGGTGAGACCGCCCGGCAGCCTCCCACCCACTTGACCCGCAGCTCTTCTTTAGAGAAACGTGTTTCCTGCATGGCAGGAACTGAACTAGGTAAAAGGGAGACCGGAAACTGGTGTGTTGTCCGCTGTAGCCCCGGTGGACAGTTCAGGGTTAGAGAACAAAGGTGGCTGTGGCGGCCAGGGCAGGATGCCGGAGCCGATCGCTGCCGGAGGGGAAATGAAGGCCCCGGGCTGGGCACTGGAGCCAAGGCTGCAGGCGGGAGGCTGGGGCCTCAGGTTCCGATACTCAGCCCGCCCATCTGCCAACTAGAGAACGGGGGCTGCACAGCTGATATTGGCCCTCTAACAAGCAATGGTCAGACTCACACCTACCCTTCCAACAAGCAGCACGTTTTTATCTTTAAAATAATCACCAGTTTGAAAAACCCTGCAACTCTTTAGAGTGCCTGACATTAAACCTACTCGAAGAATCTGAGCCCAGCCAGTGTGGCTTGTGGTTGAGGGTCAACCTATGAACCAGATCACAGTTCGATTCCTGGTCAGGGCACATGCCAGGGCTCGATCCCCAGTGTGGGGCGTGCAGGTGGCAGCTGATCAATGATTCTATAACACTGATGTTTCTCCCTCTCTGAAATCAATAGAAATATTAAAAGAGCCAAAACCGGTTTGGCTCAGTGGATAGAGCATCAGTCAGCCTGCGGACTGAAAGGTCCCAGGTTCGATTCCGGTCAAGGGCATGTACCTTGGTTGCAGGCACATCCCAGGTGGGGGGTGTGCAGGAGGCAGCTGATTGATGTTTCTCTCTCATTGATGTTTCTGACTCTCTGTCCCTCTCCCTCTTTGTGAAAAATCAATAAAAATATATTTTTAAAAATATATATTAAAAGAAAAATCTTAAGAGGAACCCAGACTAGTAGCCCATGGCCATGGTAATAATTCTAATATAATAATGTCCCAATAAATGTTATTAAAAGAAAAACAAATAGTTAAAGTTGGCTGGACCTGAGAAAGTATTGGATGTTAGGAGACCAGCACTTCATTTATAAAGAGGATTCCCAAATGTCAACTCCAAATAAAGCTGTACGTTTTAGTTTCTAGTATACAATACTATAAACCTCAAAACACACAAAATGAAGAGTCCAGAGACTTTTAAGAGAAGTAAGCTTTATTTCCTTGTTTCTCAAATAGAATTGGCTGAGCTGATTGCTTTTTGGTAATTAATCAAAGAGACCAAATCCCATATCCTCGTCCGACTCCTCCGACTCTTCCTTAGCTTCAACCTTGGCTGGGGCTGCAGCAGCAGCAGGAGCAGCAGTGGTGGCAGCAGCCACAGGGGCAGCAGCCACAAAAGCAGATGGATCAGCCAAGAAGGCCTTGACCTGAAGCAAGGGGAAAAGTTCAGTCAAAGTGGTCATCCACAGCCTGTCAGCCTTTGTAGAGCTCTAGATCAAGGACAACAAATTTCCAAGCCTCCCCTGAAAGTGACCAGACAGGATGACAGCTTGGGCATGACCTTGTGAGCTTAAGCCTAGCTCTTACCCATTAACTAACCCTCAGGATCTAGCCCAGGGGTGGGCAAACTTTTTGACTCGAGGGCCACAGTGGGTTCTTAAACTGGACCGCAGGGCCGGAACAAAAGCATGGATGGAGTGTTTGTGTGAACTAATATAAATTCAAAGTAAACATCATTACATAAAAGGGTACGGTCTTTTTTAGTTTTATTCATTTCAAACGGGCCGGATCCAGTCCACGGGCCGTAGTTTGCCCACGGCTGATCTAGTGTCTCTTGTCATTTCTAAAGTCAAGGACACACATCCCATGCCCCCGACCTCTCAAGTATACATTCAAAAAAATGTTATCTGCACCCTAGCCAGTTTTGCTCAGTGGCTAGAGCATTGGCCTGCGGACTGAAGGGTCCTGAGTTCGATTTCGATCAAGGGCACATGCCCAGGTTGCAGGTTCGATCCCCAGTTGGGGGCATGCAGGAGGCAGCCGATCAATGATTCTCATCACTGATGTCTCTACCTCTCTCACCCTCTCTGAAATCAATAAAAATATACCTAAAAACATTATTTTGCTACTAAAATATGATCCTAAAAGCGATCACTCAGCAGGCTGCTATTTATTCCCCCTGTCAGACCCACATGGTCCCAGTAGGTTCTTTTACCTTTTCAGCAAGTGGGAAGGTGTAATCAGTCTCCACAGACAAAGCCAGAACTCGCTTGTACCCATTGATGATAGAATGGGGTACTGATGCAACAGTTGGGTAACCAATGTGAAGGCATACGCTGGCAACATTGCGGACACCCTGTGGAGGGAAGGGAAAATTATATTTTAGGTGAGATCTTAGAGAAAAGAGAAGATTGTGAAGTCCAAGCAAAGCTCAATGGCAGGTAAGACTTGGACTAGCATCTTAGTCTCACACAGGGATCCTTCACACCAAATGCTTCTGGCAGGGCAATTCACACCCAGTAATTCCTAAATGCTTTTATCCTTATTCCCATCATTGGTATTACTATACCATGATGATGATGATTACTACAAAAGCCACTATTTGGTAAAAAATATAAACTATTAACATAACCATTGAGTTTCATGAGAGAAAAATGTTTAAAAAATGCCAGATGAGAACTTTGCATCCCCTAGGTGAGACTTCCAAAAAATAGCTAGAGTGAATCACGTGTCATTCCAAGCCCTAGAACAGCTACCCATTCATTCATTCTCAAAAATCTTAAATCGTATCATTACTGCCATTTCACAGACGAGGAAACTGAGGGCAGACATTAAACTGTCCTTGGTTACACACTGGTTTCAAAGGAGTGGCCAGGATTCAGTCGGAAGGTAGGCACACTCTCAACCGTTAATGTAAGAGCCTGCAATGGGCAGCACGTACCTCCAGGAAGCGGGAATGCAGCGTCTCCTCTGTGATGTCCAGCACTTCCGGGTTGTAGATGCTGCCGTTGTCAAACACCTGCTGGATGATCAGCCCGAAGGAGAAGGGCGAGATGTTGAGCATGTTCAGCAGCGTGGCTTCGCTGGCTCCCACTTTGTCTCCGGTCTTAATCAGCTGGACGTCACTCTGGAGGACAAGGTAACAAGTTAACACCTGAACACTCAGCAGGTTGCCAGCCACCAAGGGGGCCCCCACTACTGGCCTGGCTAGTACTGGCAAGCCAGGTCCACTCACCAGGATTTCAATGGTGCCCCTGGAGATTTTAGTGGTGATGCCCAGAGCCTGGAAGAAGGAGGTCTTCTCTGGCCCCAGACCAGTGTTCTGGGCTGGCACCGTGACTTCACACGGGGCAATGGCACCAGCACGGGCAGCAGCTGGCACCTGAACAAAAATAAGAAATGTGAGTTCTCCCTCCGCAGATACAACCGGAGAATCTGGCTTTTAAGGAACAACACTGATAAGGTCTCCTGAGCCAACCTGACACTCCTCTTACCTTATTGGCCAGCAGCATGTCCCGGATCTCAGTGAGGTCCTCCTTGGTGAACACAAAGCCCACATTCCCCCGGATGTGAGGCAGCAGTCTACAAAGAGAAGGTCGGCGTGGTCACCTGTCAGCACCATTCTCCTCCAGGAAAGGGGAGAAGGGCACAGAGGAGGGAAGACAAAGACGCCCAGAGACTGACTGACTTCTCCAGGGCCGGGTTGTTCTCCAGGTGTCCCCGGATGGCCTTGCGCATCATGGTGTTCTTGCCCATCAGCACCACCGCCTTCCCGCGGAGGGACATGCGGATCTGCTGCATCTGCTTGGAGCCCACATTGTCTGCTCCCACGATGAAGCATTTTGGATAGTCATCCAGAAGTTGCTACAACAAACAGGCAGAAACACGCCAAGTTTAACAGGAGGAAAGAAGGGGGCGGAAAACATCAGGAGATAGATCATTGTCCTGATATGCCAGGGTTGCGAGTTCAGTTCCAGTCAGGGCACATACAAGGATCAATGAATGAATGCATCAATAAGTAGAAGAGCAAACTGATGCTTCTCTAAATATCAACAATAAAATTTTTTTAAAATCAGGAGAAACCAACCCCACAATGGCTGGTTTCCATCCCACTCCCTTTCTTCTATGCGTTTGAAGTGCCTCACATTGGGCCAACTCCTCCCCCAGGAGCCACCTGGGTCGTAACACTCACAGATTTGTCAAAGATTTGCTTGCTGAGTATGGAGAGTAAAAACTGGGTTGGTACATTCAACCAGAAAAATTTTTATTTTAGCTCTCATTTTTTAACATTTCCCAATTATGAGATGTTTCTGACTCACTAAAATGACTTAACAGCAAAAAACATTCCACATAAGGCTGCATTTACAGCACTCAAAACACAGCGTAAAGCAAATGCAAAACCCTACTTGTAAAATCTAGGTTGTGGGGTGTGGGATTATTGTACCATCCTGTTAAGCAGGGAGGACTCACTCCAAGGCCTTCGTAAAACGAGCATTCATTAAGAGACTGGGTTTCTTGCCGAAACCGGTTTGGCTCAGTGGATAGAGCGTCGGTCTGCGAACTGAAAGGTCCCAGGTTCGATTCCGGTCAGGGGCGTGTACCTGGGTTGCAGGCACATCCCCTGTAGGGATGTGCAGGAGGCAGCTGATCGATGTTTCTCTCTCATTGATGTTTCTCTCTCCCTCCCTTCCTCTCTGTAAAAAATCAAAATATATTTTTTAAAAAAAAGAAAAGAGACTGGGTTTCTTGACTGGCAGGACCTGAATGTGCACCAACTTGACTTTTTATGAGTCACTCACTAACTCTCGCCTTCCCAAAGATGGGAGCAGAGAAGTGAGAGTATGATGAGCGCCCTCTGAATGCCAGACAGACCTGGGAATGAATTAATGCCACTTAGCTCTTGGGAGCCAGTAACTGCCCGAGCCTGTGTATCTGCAACAGGTGGGGGTGGCACACGGATCTTTGGAAATCCTGAAAGGTTCAGTGAGATTTGCCTAAAATGGCCCGATTCAGCAGCCGGGCACCTGGGAGCTGACGGCCCTCGTAGCCCGTGGCCGAGGAGCACCATGGCGGCCGCGACCCACCCCGCACTTACGATGATCTTAAGGAAGTAGTTGGACTTCCAGGTCGCCCTGTCTTCCCTGGGCATCGCGGCGGTGCGTCAGGGATTGCCACGCAGGGTTTAAAGATGATGTCACTCCCACGAGGACGCCTGGCGAGAGGAAGCTAGAATGCAGTCTTAACCAAAAGCATTAACTCTGAATTGAGTCAAGCTTCTAGGAAGACTAGTTTACAGGAAAAAAGACGCCCATCCTTCCCGCCGCCAGACCCCGGCGCCATTCGGCAGCCACACAAACCTCCCACGAGGACGCCTGGCGAGAGGAAGGCCGTGCTCCGTCGCGCCCCTTTTATAAGGAAACGAAGCAGCCAATCAGAAGCCTTAGACAGCACCGCCACCTATTGGCTGGCGCCGACGCCTGTCTGGCGAAGCAGGAGGAACGCAGGCAGCCATTGGATAGCACAGCTGCCACTCCAGCCTACCGGAAGCCGCCTTCAAATAGGAAGTTAAGGAAGCGCTGCCTGGGGTTGCAGGCGCTCTCTGCGAGCTGCTTCCCTCTGCTGGGCTGGAGCTGCTTTGTGAAGACGCTAGACTCTGTGGACTCGGTCCGGTCCGGTCTGGTCCCGTTTCCCCGCCCCCTGGCAGGTCGCAAACTGGAGGATGACGTTGCACAAGCCTTAGAAACAGAATGGTCCCTGTCCCCTCTATAGTGTGTCCTTCCCCCTACCAGAGGGATCACTTAAAACAGTCGGATCAAAAAATAAGTAAATAGAACAGTAGGGTCATTTCCTCATCTGTTCAAAATTCTTAAAAGGCTTCCCATCTCCCACAAAGTAAAAAGATTAAAACTTAACTGGCCTACAAGACCCTACATCAAGCATGTCAAACTTGGGGCCCGCGGGCGGTTTGCAGCCCACAATGAATATTTTTGCAGCCCAGCCAATATAACGGTATGTAAGAAACGTTTTAATAAAAATTTCATAACTTAATATCCTGTTATACTTAAATATTAATAACAAACTACAACGTTCGCTAATGACTGATTACTATCATCATGTTGCATTTATTTCCCTGCCTTACACGCAGGCGTACCACTTCCACTAATACTAGCAGCGAATATTTTAGCAGCCGATGGCCACCTCATTAGTCTTGGACTGACTTGTTTGGTGTGTGCAACAGGAAATATTTCGCTTTCGGTGAACAAGAAAAATAGGTTTATCTGCGTTAACAACCGAACTCGGGACCCTTCAGTCCGCAGGCCGATGCTCTATCCACTGAGCCAAACCGGTTTCGGCTGCGTTAACGCTTATTAATTTGTTCAGTTATTCAGTGTCCGGTAAGTTAATGTTCAAGAAAAAACATTTATTAAAATGTTCTATTATTTTATGTTAATGGTTACTCATTTATTTCAGCCCTTTTATTCAGCATGTCTCTAGCGAAATAGACCTCTGTTTCTATGAAAATTGAAACTTTTGTTTTTTTGCAGCCCACATAAACTTAAACCTTGTTTATTTGGCCCGTGTTAGCCTTTGAGTTTGACATGCTTGCCCTATATCATCTGCTCTCCACCTCTACTCCTATAATCACGTCTCCTATTTTTCTACTGACTCATTCCCTTCCAGCCAGACGCTGTGCCCCTTGAGGGCTCTAACACCAACTGTTCCCTCTTCCTGGAAGGCTCCTTGTCTATATCCACATGTGTGACGCCTCCATCACCGTTTGGCTCAAATATCACCTGCTAAAACAGGCCTACTCTGATTTGTTTTAAAAATTACTACCAAAAAAATATTTTTAAATAATCACTCCCATTTCCCCCTTACTCCGTTTTTTTTGTTGTTGTTGTTTTTTGGTAGCGCTTACACTTTGTAACACATTATGTAGTTTACTTATTACACTAGAGGCCTGGTGCATGAAATTCGTGCACAGGTAGGGTCCGTAGGCCTGGCCAGCAATCAGAGCCAATCAGGGCCTTGGGCTGCTGGCCGGGGCCTTCCTTCATTCAGCGCCACCCCCTGGTGATCACCGCATGTCATAGCGAGCAATTGAACTCCCGGTCTCCCAGTTGAATTCCCAAGGGGACACTTTGCATATTAGACTTTTATATATATAGTTATTTGTCTGTCTCTCTCTCTCTGCAAGAATGCAAGCTCTGCAAGGCAGAAATTTTTGCTTTGTGCCTAGCACATAGTAGGCATATCATAAATATTTGTTTTTTTAATATGTTTTTATTGATTTTAGGGAGAAAGGAACTGCGAGGGAGATAGAAACATTGATGAAAGAGAAACATCTGGCCGAAACCGGTTTGGCTCAGTGGATGGAGCGTCGGCCTGTGGACTGAAGGGTCCCAGGTTCGATTCCGGTCAAGGGCATGTACCTTGGTTGCGGGCACATCCCCAGTGCGGGGGAGTGTGCAGGAGGCAGCTGATCGATGTTTCTTGCTCATCGATGTTTCTAACTCTCTATCTCTCTCCTTTCCTCTCTGTAAAAAACTCAATAAAATATTTAAAAAAAAAAAAAAAGAAAGAGAAACATCTGTCAGCTGCCTCCTGCACACTCCCTACCAGAAATGGAGCGGCAACCCGGGCATGTGCCCTGACCAGAAAGCTAACCAGTGGCCTCTCAGTGCACAGGACAGCGCCCCACCAACTGAGCTGCACCACCCCGGGCTCATAAATAGTATTTGTTGAACGTATGAATGCAGGGTTTGCAGTCAGATGACCTGATCTTCTTGTTCTTGGAAATGATTTCACCTTGTTGACACTGTTTCTCATTCCTTACCTGTAAAATGGGGTAAAAGTATCCACATTCTAGACTTGTTATGAGGATTACCTGAGCTATTTGTGAAGACTTAACACAGTTCCTGGAATGCAGGAGGAATTTACTACAAATGCTAGTTTTATTATACATTCATCCAACACTTATTTGAACAATTGTACTCTCGTGTGTTTTTTAATGAATGAGCTTAGATCCTACAGCAGAAGAGGTGTTTCTCCCTACCTTTACCCTTTGCACTTGACCAAATTAGAAACCCCTCTATTTTGTTTTAAAGCCTCCTAGTGCCTCTGATGATGAGCCAGTTTAGAGAAATGCTGGAGTTGACTACTGCTAAGGTCGCTGTGTCATGACAAGGTATTGCTGTGTCATGACAAGGTATTGCTGCTGCCTGCTCAGCGTTGTGCTGAGTACTTTGCACACATTAGCGCTGTTGACATTTACAACAATACCAACACCGTCTTAGTATTTCCGTTTTATCGATGAGAAAATTCAGAGAGGTTAAATATTTTCCCCAAGTCCCTCAGCCAGTTAATGGTGGGGTCAGAACTGAAATCTACAGAAAGTTCATAGCCCATGGGCCTCACTATGCTGTAGTTCCTTCCAAACCCTGAATCTCCCCCTAAACACACTTTCCCAAGGATATACATACAGTTACCTTCCCAAGGACAGCCTGGCTCTGATGACATAAATATTTCTAATTGTAGAACATCAATATAATGGAATACCATGCAACCATTAAAAAATGATGCAGATCTATATTTATTGACATGGGGAAATACAGAGTACACTTGAGTGAAGAAGAAAATAACAAGGTAGTGTACCATATCCATTTCTATAAGTAAAATAAATCAAACATGAGCGGGAAGGAAAAACCAAGTAATTATCTTTGGGTGAGGGTTGAAGGTAATTTTCACTTCTGAGCTCACTGTGAAATGGGCAGGGTTCAGACTAGAATTCAACATGCGGCTTTGGAAGGCCATTCCAAACAAAGGGGAACTGAGGCCGGAAGAGGGGTGTAGGGCGTGGGGAGGAGAACTGGGGTCCGGAGCAGGACTGAAGGTCTGGCTGACAAAAGTGAGGAAGCCTGCATATAGGAACATGACCACCAGGGGGAAGTAGAGACCAATCGCCAACTATCAGTCCACCCCCTTCAGTTGACACCCTAAGTGTTGTGCCAGTACATGGGGGGGTCAGGGGAGGGCTTGGTCAGTGCAGGAACACCCGCAGAGGCCAGCCTTGAGTTTATACACCCTGTCTGCACTCAGGTTTCCTTCTGCATGTCGGTTCTCCACCCTGAACCTCTTTCCCCATCTGCAAATGAGTGTAAAACCAGCCACAGGCCCACGTGAGGATGCCCGTGGGGAATCCAGAACAAAACTTAGTGCAGGCCCTGACCTAGGCAGGGCCCAATAAGGCTGCTCCCCAGCCTGCCCTGGCCAACAAAGCTCACATGGGAAGCCAGGAGGACGGGTGCTCACGGACCAGAGTCCTGTGGGGCAAGGGCCCCACCCCCAGGGCTTTTTGCCTCATGTAAGGGAACATGGATGATCTATCCTCAAACTGTGGTCCTTGAGTCTAGAAGGGTTTGGTCTCTCTTCTGGGACTAAGTTGTTATCTCGGACCACAAAGAAAACGCACCAGCACAGATCAAAATAATGGCAAACTTTATTGGCATAAATCACAGGAATTGAAATGAGGAAAAGCCAAGTTAAAAGTTTACAGAGAAAAAAATTAAAATCAATTCATCAAATTACCATTGGCCCAGAGGGTGGACCCCAGAAACCCTTCCCTCTAGGAGTGGGGTCTAGGGCGGGTCACTGTAAACAGAGCAATAAGGCCTATGGGTGGAAGTGGAGATGTCAGACCTTTGACCAGCCCGGACCTGGCTGCTCCCAGCCCTGCCTTGAAGGAGGGACCCTCATCTGAAACCCCAGCGCACTGAGCCTCTGCTAAGATCTTACCCACTGTAGACCCCACTGGGGCCCCCTCTGCTGGCCAGGAACCCGGGCCTGCCTGCTCCTGTTTCATCCTTGGGGGAGAAAGCAAAGCTGTGGGGCCTTTCCATGGCTTCAGCGGATCCGTCCCTCCGCCCAGACTGCCTTGCAACAACCCGGGCCCTTCCCCCAGCCCTCGTTTCCAAGGAGGGCAGGGAATTGGGGAAGTGATGCGCCCAGTGGAATCAACAAGACCAACGGTCAAAACCAGATCCAGCTTTCCTGAGGAGGCAGGAGGAGCCCAGAGAAGCAGTGAGGAGGCGAGAGTGTGCGGGGGTTCTCTTGGGTGCCAGAGAGTTCACAGGGGAGCGGATGCTCCTAATGGCTTAGACAGGAAACAGTACCCCCAAAGCACCCTTTCCCCTTCTCCTCACTAAGGAACAGGACGGATGAGGTTCAGAATCCTAGGCCCAAAGGGGCAAGACACCCTGAGGCCATTTCAGTTAAGAGCTTGCTGGCCTGGGTAGTAAGGAAGGGATTTCAAAATACAGCAGTTTATAAAACAGTCCTGGGAGCCGTGAAGGAAAGAAGGGGAGTCTCAGAGCTGCTCCCACTTCACCTGCTTATGCTAAGAAAAAATAAAATACAAATGGCTTCCCCACCCCAAGCCCTCAGTACAAAGCGAACCCTGTCCCACAGCCACTGCCCCACAGGACCGGTGGCGGTGGACACGGAGGAGAATACAAAAGGGGATGTCTTTAAAATCTCTTCAAAATCATTTTGTGTAGAGAAGTAAAAGCAACTCCGATGATAGGAATTCAAACCTCAGTGTAGAAATCTATCAAAGTCGGCACAGTGTCCAGGCTCGGGGTGAATGCCCCCTCCTGCCGTCGGAGACGGAGGAAGTGACCATAAACATTATTGCTGGAGAGTCTGTCTCAGTAGAACCAGAGCAGGGATGGGCAGGGCAGTCGCCCGGCCCGGGGAGACTGGAAAGGCAGGAGGAGCACCAGGAACCTCCCATGGCCCCTGGGCACTGCGGCCCTCGGTGGATTGATGCTGGCATTGTCTGGAGGGAGCGGTGTCCCCCAGGATTCTCAGAACAAGGATAATTTGGTCGGACGGAAACAAAGATAAAAAGAGACCCCATCTGACCCTGCCTGCCCGCCCCCTGCTCCACTGCCGAAATGAGTAAGAGATGGCTCCAGTGTGGGGTGCTGGCCAGGCCAGGCGGGTTCGTGGGGCGGGGCCCCCAGCCCCCCTCCGGGGAGGATGAGGAGCTGGCAGCCTGGAGACAGCTGCAGGAGGAGGGGGAGGCCCAGAGGCCCTGGCAGAGGATGAAAAGCAGGGGGCACCCTTGGAGCCCTCTTGCCACCCTGCACAGCCAGGACACGGGTTCCAGTTTCAGTCGGGCTTGGCCCTGCAGCCCGGGGCGAGGCCTCTGGGTCACAGTAGCGGCGGGGGAGGCGGGGCCAGGGGCCAGGGCAGCCGGAGGGACGAGGGCCCTAGCAGAAGAGCTTGAGGAAGCAGTTCTGACAGTAAGGCTTGTCGTTCTGCTCCTTGAAGGTGCCCTTGTTGAGCTGCTTGAGGCAGAAGGCGCAGACGAAGTGCTCGGGGTGGAACTTCTTGGCCATGGCGGTGATGCAGCGGCCGGTGATGGGCTTCTGGCAGCCGGAGCACAGCGAGCCCCGCCGCTCGTGGTAATGCACCTCGCAGTAGGGCTGCCCGTCGTGCTCGAAGAAGCTGCCGTTGATGAACGGCGTGAAGCACTCCTGCCGGCGGAAGCGGGGGTGAGGCGGAGGAAAGGGGGCTCAGCTGGGGCCGGGGGCTGAGGCCGCTCCAGGGAGGTGGGCAGGGGACAGTCGAGGTCACCACACTCCCCCTGGCTGAGCATTTCCTCCGTGCCAAGTGCTGTGCGAAACGCCACTGAATTCCCAACAGAGACGGGAATGAGGCGTGAGAGGTAAGTGACTTGCCCAAGGTCATGCCGCTACGAAGGGGCACAGCCTGGAGTTAAACATAGGTCTGACGCCTGGGCACTTACCCAGGAGGCTGTACTGTGTGCCCCGAAACCCTGGTGCTGAAATGAACAATGTTTCCCAAACTTATTTGGTCGGAGGACCCTTACTGATCCCCAGTAACAGGTATGGGCTCCCCCCCAGATTGCAGCTTAAAAACCAATGGCCAATTCCTTGGAGCTGCGAAAAGCTTGCATTCTCCCATTGAATCCTTCTGAACGGGAGGGGCCGCCACATAGGACAAGGCTGGAGACATGCGATGCTCCTGGTTTCTCCCACCTCAGTACAAGCCCTGGCCCAGGACCCTGGGCTTGAGGAAGTGTCCCCCTGCCTGCTCACCCCATTAATAACCGCGAACAAAGCCTCCAAGTTGCATCCAGAGAGCACAGTGAGGGAGGCCCTTCTCTCCTGGCTGCCCAGTGCCCCCCCTTTTTTAAATATATTTTTGATTTCAAAAAGGAAGGGAGAGGGAGAGAGACAGAAACATCAATGATGAGAGAGAATCACTGATTGCTGCCTCCTGCACGCCCCCTACTGGGGACTGAGCCCACAACCTGGGCATGTGCCCGACCAGGAACTGAACCATGACCTCCTGGTTCACAGGTCAATGCTCAACCACTGAGCCACGCCGGCCAGGTGAGTAGATCCATCTTTACTGTGTATTCTGCCAAGAAAATTTACAGCGTGGGGCAAAAGTAGGTTTACAGTTGTTCATATGTAAAACAATTCAAAAATTAATAAATACTAATACAAGAATAAACTGTTTTGTGTATTCACAATTGTATAGCTCTCTGATTAAACCACCTTCTAATAAATATAATAATATATTAATATCTAAGCTTATGGTCAGGCCTTGTTATGGCTTTAAAGCAA